CAGCAATTTGTGTTCCTCCTAACAGAGGAAACCCTACCGCCTAAGTATTTAAATTATGATTGTCAAAGTTAATGCTTTAATGCTCCCTCTTAATTAAAAATGAATAATATGTTAATTATATTTAATTGCATCAATCGGGTTTCACTGTTTATCCCACTGGGCGTCTCTTGGGGAGAATGAACTTTAAACAGAGAATTCAAACCAATTGACATAAAGGGAGTCTTTGTAACTTTTGGAATAGGAAATAAAACCTGGGGCATTTGCTGCAAGAGCCTTACTTTGATCTAAAGCTAATGGTTTTAAAAGTTAGCAAACCTCGGATTAATTCTTCTGTGTTGGTTATCTGACTTCATGTCTCTCGTCTAGGTGATCGTGACAAACTATGTTGTAGCATGTCGACATCATTTCATTGTTTTTATCGCCATGTTCATGACTCTATGTGTCGAGGATTGAGTCCATGCACAAGATTTACGTTCCTTACTTTAGATTTACTCAACTAGGAATTTGTTCAAACATTAGATGATGCATTGATCATAGGGTGTGGAAACAGTATCTTTTATGATGTTGCGTTGTTGCTGTAAAGATGCTAAAGAAGGTGATGCACGATGGATGTCTGCTGAAGGAAGGAAAGACTAAGTGAGCCGAGGGCCAGCTTTAAAGCCTGTGAGGCCCAGGTGAAGTATTTAGTAGCTCTTTACTTTGACACTTTTGTGCTGAGCAGTATAATGAACATTTAAACCTTGGGGAGGACCCTTGCAAGGCTTACATTTATTTCTAGGCAGGCAGGTGCATTTTCAGGTTATTGTAATTGTTATGCATCTCTGCAATTACAGTTATTAATACATTAATGAGTCCAGCTTTTGAACATGCATAAGAACACGTCCAGCTTGAGAACATGGATTTATAAAGAAGAGGAAAAGGAGGAGGACGAGGAGGACGCAGACTTTGCCAGCATCTGTGTCCTGTTTTGTCACTAATCTCTTCAATGTTGCGTAATGCCTTTGCCTCAACAAGCCGCAGCTCTCTCTCTGCCTGTCAGGAGTTTCATCATTATACAGGAGGCTCATACGGTTCCCTTATGTCTTTGAATATCATATAATGTGTTGATGAAAAACCTCCATGTGTGAAGACACCAACAGTTTATGTTCAGATATTTGGGCCCTTGAGCATTTTTGTTTGTTTGAGTTTATGCTTTAGAGGAGATTGAAAGCATAAGTCCTCAGAGAAGACCAATTACATGGAAGTAGGGCAATACATCACGTGAGGTACTGTACACACACACACACACACACACACACACACACACACACACACACACACACACACACACACACACACACACACACACACACACACACACACACACACAGTCACACATAAACATAGCAAACATGAAACCAGAAACTACTGAACTGTAGATGAAGGTGTGTGTGTGTGTGTGTGTGTGTGTGTGTGTGTGTGTGTGTGTGTGTGTGTGTGTGTGTGTGTGTGTGTGTGTGTGTGTGTGTGTGTGTGTGTGTGTGTGTGTGTGTGTGTGTGTGTGTGTGTGTGTGTGTGTGTCCTTAATCCTATTATTGATCAACCATTACACACTAGGGAGAAGGAGACGTTTTTCTGCCTGCTCCTCCCTGCTGGTGTTCTTATTCATGCACTGTAGTATAATAACATCATTTTAACACTTGCTATTAGGGCTGTGAATCTTTCAGGATCGATTTTTGATTCAGTGCATAGAGTGCTAAGTTGAGAATCTAATCCATTCTGCTTGTGGGAAATTACTGCACAAAAGCAGAGTAAGGAGTGTATAAGATTGTAGAATTGTTCTATTTGGAAATGGGATATCAATCGATTCTCAATGACGTTAACTCCCTGGTTAACACACAACGGCATACATTAGACGAAATGTAACATTTATTTATGTTACACAGTGCATTTTTACTTAAAAAGTGTAACAGGATTTCTCTATTCTGTGACTTTTAGAATAACAAGTTCAAAAAATAATAAAATCCCAAAATGAAATTGGTAGGCTTAGGCTGGCTGCCTTTTTACTTTTTAAGAAACTTGCACATTTTCAAAAATCAATTGAACACAAAAACAATGTGAAACTCGTATTCTGCTTGATTTCTTTTGTTCAGGTTGTGAATGATTTCAGAATCATAAGATGTAAGAATTTCCACTCTTACATAAATCTATTTCCTCTCATCCCTCCTTGCTGTGATGTTGGAAAAATGGACAAAAAAAAAGTATATCTCTGTTGAGTTTTCCCTACAGTGACATGAGGACATTTTAGTGACTCTAAGACAAAATGTAAGTTCAATATTAACCTTGTTCCCTCTATAGTAACTTTGACTTGCGATGAAGGAGTAGCGAGAGAGGAAGAAAGAGAGATTCAAGAAGAGAGTGTGCTGACAGGGGGTGTTTCTCAATGTCGAGGACGCTTGCTTGGTAGCACGTCTTCCGAGTCACTTGCTTCAGAAGCGAGGCAATAATCCTTCCTAGCCTCGGAAAACGAAGAATTGTGGAACAGGCTAACAGGTGTGCGTCATATGCGAGGCCCCGCCTTAAATGGAGCGCGATTTCCGCCAAAGATTTGGAAATTGGTCCGTACGCAAAGCATTGTGGGGATTTTAAGACCGCAGAATCTACACATGTGCAGCCTCGAAATTTCTCGCTACGAAGTACGCCGGCCTTGGTAGAATTCCAAGTATGCTGGACATTGGAACAGTCCTTCGGCGGGACTCGATGACGTAGTATGCTTGAAATAGTGGCTCTGGAGCAGCCTTCCTCGACATTGAGAAACACCCAGGGTCTCTGGTGTCACTGCACTGCAGGAAGAGAGTTGAGTGGAGGGGGGAGGAGGACACACACACACACCAGATAACATACACTTGTAGCTGAACAACTTTAAGTCCAAATGAAAACACTTCCCTCTGTGCTCTCATTTTATTTTGAGTTGTACAAAGTGAAAATATGTTTCAGTGTGCATACATGACTGAAAAAGTATGTTTTCTTGTAAGAATGCAGGCAAACACACACACACACACACCCTGCCCATTTTGATCAGATGCAAGCTGTCACCACGTTAGACGCCGATCATCTTTCATCTTTAATTAGCTATCCATCATCCTCCATCTCTGTCTTGTGTTCCCCTTTTGTGCCAAAAACTCTGGAGGATAATTTCACTCAAACCTTGGCTGCTGAGATGAAACAGAAGTTGCTGCACATCTGCCATGTTTTTTAAAAAAGGTTTGCGAACCTCATTCCAGCAATTACGCACAGCAGAGGGAAGGATCAGAAAACATTAATGTAAGGTGGAGGAAAACAAACTGACAGCAGGTTTAAGCAGGGCGCACTGGACCGTATTTCTGTTGTTCTGTCCTCCTGGTGCAAACCCTTTTATGTTGAAAACGGCATTGTTTCACTGAAATAGCGTCAAAATCAGAAACTGCCATTAAGAGTCAGATTCTTAATGAAATCTACTAAAACAAAGTACTTCATGGTAGTGGTCAGCTTTTTTTTTCATTTTCTTTAATTTCCACCAACAGTTTTCAATTTGAGTCCAACCATGTTTCATTTCAGCTTTCCAATTGGTTATTTTGTGTTGGCTAGACATCATTTACAAAGGCCAAAATAGACTGTATATTCCTAGAGAAAAATACAGAAAGTAGAACCAGACAAATGTCTAGAGCAGATATCAGATAATTTGAATGGTATGATGGTTAAATGACAGGAATATAATGTTTAATAGTTGTTATCTTTGCAAATTCATTTTACATTCATGCCATTGGTCATTTCTGTTCTCTTCTGGTTAGTGCAGTGGAGTTTTTATGCAGTTTTTTCATCTGTTTTCTTCTCCTTTCTTGCCTGCCGCCCCTCTCAGCCTCTGGTTGTGGAGGTTTTGCACAACATTTTCCATGAATGTTCTGCTTATAATCCAGCTCAAGGATTCTTTTCTCAGCATAAGCAGCTTCACACACATTTCAAACTTGAAACTTGTTTAAATCTTTTTTTTGCCTATCCTCATCTTTAATGTCTGTCTTACTTTCAGAGTAACGCTTGCTTCTTCTCCCTCCTCTCTCTAATCTCTTGACTCTTCATCACTTTCATCTCCTACATCCAATTATCCTTTTACCAGTCTCTGTGTGTGTTTTTGTGCACAGTTTGCACCTTGGGACATATTCAGAGATAAGTGAACATAATGAGGTTTGAATACGTTATCAAGTAACACTGAAAGAAATCTGCAGTATGTAAACTTCCTCCAAAATGTCAGCATTCTCATGTTTTGTTTTGATGTGACAAGATTTGCTTAATATGTTGTTTATATTAATCCATAATAATCACACTGTGGTTCACAAAATCATGTATTTCATATTGTATGAACGAGACCTTTATGTTGCTGCTCTGATTGACGTTGCGATAATTTGCCTCGAAAAGCTGCCGTTATAAGGGATTTTTGTTCTTTAACACTTTTTAACATATGCTGTAACGACCAATTATATTGCTTTAATGTCTATTTTTTGTATTTGTATTGTATAGCATTTCAAAAAATGTGTTTGAAATCTTCCCCGGCGGCCGAGAGCCACAATTTAAACTGAAGAGGCAGCTACTGCTCCTGGCAATGTCTATGTTTGTTGATAGTAATTATGGTAATTTGTGAATAATATTGCGGTCAAGGCTTGTCAATGCATACAGCATCTTTAAAAATAACATCACAGATCCTTCCTCATAGCCCTTTTCCTCCACGTCCTGCATGTGAGGATGTTAATGCTGCTTGCACTTTAGTATAGATTGCAGCTCAAATTAGCGAGTGACAGAATTGCTCTGAGGTATTCTCTGAAATCTACCCCAGGCAGTCTTTGACATGGTATAGCAAGAAATGACCTTAAGTGATTTAAACGTTGTTGGCTTCAGATGAATAGCACTCGGTTTAAGAGCAGCTGCACTGTGCCCAAAAAGTAATGATGCCTCTCTCTCTCTCTTTCTCTCACCATTTCCATTTGTAGTCCAGGGTGGTAGCCTGCATGACAGCTATACTCAGTCAGATGGATGATCGTCACTATGAGACATACATAGAAACCTTCGCTGGATCCTCTGATCTGGTGGTAAGTATACAGACACCTGCAGATGTCAAAATGCTAAATATGTTGAATGTTAAATATACACTGATGGTCAAAAACAACTCCCGACTGTAATTAATTTTAAAAAAGTTTGATCAGAATCAGAAACAGGTTTATTGCCAGGTAGGTTCACACATACGAGGAATTTGACTTGATGTCATGGTGCATACATAAAATATAAAACAAGAAATCTAACAAAAAACAAAAAATCTTTAAGGACACCGTAATAAAATATAGTTAAATAGCAATAAAATAAAAGCAGTAATTTACATGGAAATAGAATGCTATGAATGAATTATAGGATATGAAACAAGAAATATGTGTGATACACTCACATTCTCATTCTTTTGTCCGTTTCACTGCAGGACTTCCTGATGGAGTCCTTCATGCTTTTCAAGGATCTGATTGGGAAACATGTGTACCCCTCGGACTGGATGGCCATGATCATGGTACAGAACAGGTACTAGAAGCACACACAGACCTGAGATCTGAAACACCCTCCTACTTCTCCCAGGTCTCTGACAACAGAAAAGGCCACAACCGCCCCAGCCCAACCTGCTATTGGGTCGTTGAGGCTTGGTGTGTGTGAATTATATAAAATATTGTTGACATCCACACAAACCCACACAGGGAGAAGTTAGAGATAGCAAAGCTGGGGCTCAGGGCTGCAAAGATGAAAAAGGCTGATGTGACCAAAGCATTTATTAGTGAGCTGCTGTGGAATAGTTATTGGGCTGTCAGCTAGAAGGAAGGTTACAACTGTGTCAGAGGAATAGAAAAGGAAAAGAGGTTAAAGTTATAGAGTGAGGTGGAAGTAAGGTCAGGTTGATAAGGAGTCTGCAAACTGGGGTTAGGAGAGGTAGAGAAAGTCACGCTTGAAAGACAAAGTAAGACTGAGAGAATGTCAGTTACAGTAGCGGTGAATAACCCTGACTGATAGATGAATAGCGCCCAGGTAGGATGGCTGGGGCTACCTAACTTTAGAAATCCATCAAGTCACTACTCACTCATACACCTGCTTACCGTTTGAAGCTGCTATCAGGATCCGTTATTGTGACAGATGTTTAGAACCTGAAGCAATATCACAAACTTGTCTGAAATACCACTATGAAGTTGTGGGCCAGAGCTGCTGTCAAAGCTGTTGTTGTTTGACAAACAACAAATAAGGTGCATTTTTGATCATTAACGAATTTCCTCAATTTATTCCACATACAGTAAACATAGTTCAATCAGGAGAGATGTGATGTATGAGTACATGTTTATTATCGGGACACATGATATGCGGGAATAGTGATTGACGTATTACAGCAAGTAACTGTAATGATGTTTTGGCGATTAGGCCCCGGGTTTGCAGGATGATCATTCAGGAGGGAAAGAACCGCTCTGATGAACCCCCCCGGGGTCTAGACACTGGTGGTGGTGATAGTAGTTCGGTCCGATCTGAAGGGAGAAGGTTTTAGCTTGGCCCTGTATTAGGAGACAGGAGGGGAAGGGGTGGAGGAGGGTTGTGTGTTGACACCTGAAATGACAACTGACAGGGAGGGGAGAGCAGATTTAAAGGGGTTAGCAGGTGCGATGATTGGCTAGCCGGGGCGTAACACCCCTGATCACTTATTGAGATAACGTGTGACACCAGATGATATTGTCTTCTTGATTGAACTTGCGCTGAGCTACATTTGTTTCCTTAAGGACATAGTTGTTTCCTTAAGGATGTGTGTTTGTTTTATAAAACAATCAAACAACTGCATCAGTACGTTATTTTTGTCCATCAGAGTGTTCCTGAGAGCTATCAACACCTATGCCGACACAATGAACCAGAAGTTCCTCAATAACGACGACTTTGAAGTACAGGTAAGTGTGTATACAGGTTTTTTATAATATTGACAGTACCTTTATTTGCCTGATTTTATTTAACATAGATCTCTATTTTCTCCCTCTTCTGTTCCTTGCTCTTTCTACCCGTCTAGTTGTGGAATAACTACTTCCACTTGGCGGTGGCGTTTATTACCCAGGAATCTCTGCAGCTTCAGCATTTCTCGCCAACTAAGAGGAACAAGATTCTCGCCAAGTGAGAGAAGGGCCATTTCATTTCCTTATTTACCACAGTTACTGCCCCTGCTCTAATGAAACACTCAGTGATTTGTGATCTATTTTGGAGTCTGCATTTACCGTTTACACTCCCACTGTGCGACGCCTGTTGATAGACATTCCATTTGGTTCATGTTGGGGCAGATTAGCACAGCATTATATTTCCCTCTGGGATGTTCAGTTTCTGAAGGTGAAAATAACAGCATTCATCAAGACCATAATTCTTAAACCCATTCTCTTTCCGTCTCTATTTATGTGTCTTAAATCAGGTATGGTGACATGAGAAGACTCATTGGCTTCGCTATACGCGACATCTGGTACAAACTAGGTAAATAAATGTACTTTATACAAGTGTGGTTGCTTTGCTGCTTTTGGGAATGCAAATGTGTGTTTTCCTTCACAGCGAGATATACGTGTTTGTGTGTGTAGGTGCACAACGAAACCAAGGGGCCAGTGGAATTTGTTTTCTGTATAGCATGGTAATGAGGGTTCGCAATGTCAGCACCTTTTCACATAAATACATATAACATATTGCTCTTTAAATAAAGGGCTACTTGGTATTCTGAGAAAGCTGCATGTACAGTACAGGGTGATTTCCTTGAAATAGGAAGCCGTGTTCCTTGTTGTAGAAGGATTTTTTTTTTTTTATTAGGATGTGTTGGTGGAGGAAGACCTGGGGAACATTCCTGAGGACAACAATTGGAACAGGGGTGAACAAGGGGAGATGGTTCAGGTATGATGTTACTTGCCTTTTTCATGACGTGTGTGTTTGTGTGTGTGTTTCAGGCAGCCATAAGATCTGTTTCATCCCTGGCATGGTGGGTCCCATCCTGGAGATGACTTTGATCCCAGAAGAAGAGCTGAGGAGGGCCACCATCCCCATCTTCTTCGACATGATCACCTGTGAAAATGCACACTCTGGAAACTTCCAGAAGGTAAAACGCATCCATGCATACAGATATGTGGGAACCGTTATTGTTTGCTGCAGTGAAATATTAAGATTTAAAATGCAAACTTACTTTTGCATGTACCAAATACACACAGTGACACTGGCACACACACAGTGACCATATACATCGATTTCCTGTGACAGTGCATGAAAGTAAAAGAGACACCTTAATTATGCTTGCATAATTGATTTCTTCTTCTAGTCCTGATCTCATTTGTTTTCTCTTCTCCCCGTTTGCTCTGTCTTTCTTTGTCTTTCCTCTGTAGTTTGAGAATGAGATCATTCTGAAGTTGGACCATGAGGTGGAGGGTGGAGGAGGAGACGAGCGATACATGCAACTACTGGAGACCATGTAGGCCTGAGTATTATAACTTAAAACCATAACGGCAGCCAATAATGCTTGAAAATGTAAACTTCTTCTGTAGATAAACAAAAAGCTACCAACAAAAGTAGTGAGTGAAGTGATAGTACTGCCAGAATATGGTTTTACATTTGAGAAATTATTTAAATTCTGGCTGGCCTTGCTTTGCTATTGTCTGAAAAAATGAATTCAGAGAGTAGATTTCCTGCTAACCCTCAAATGTTCAGTTTGGATTCACATCAGCGGTTTACCAGGAATAAACTCACAACATTTGCAGCATAAAACACTGAATTTAAAGGGCATATCTTCTGATGATGAACTCACGGATGCTTGTCTTCCAGCCTGCTGGACTGTGCAGCAGAGAAGCCCCCACTGAGGCCACAGGTACAGCACTTTGTCTCCTTGGTGAAGGGACTCCTCATTCGTCTCCTTGACTACCGCACCGTGATGAACGATGACAGCCGCAACAACCGCATGAGCTGCACCGTCAACCTTCTTGTAAGTCCCAAATATTCAAATCCCTCCTCCACTAGCCTCCTCACTTGTTACTGAAGTGAGCTTCAGTAACAAAATATGGAGTTAGGACTAGGTAAGCAGTTATTTCCTTTAATAGTTTCATCATAGTTTTGTTTTCTTGATGTTTCATCGATACTCTGCAGTCTTTCCAAATCTCCTGTAAGCTTGGCATGTGTCTCCATGGATTTGCATTTATTGACACCTGCCTCGTGATTCATGCACTGTACTTGGAGTATTAAAACTCACAGCACATGTTCTGATCTCAGAAATACACACACACACACACACACACACACATCAATAAACTCATTATTCATTGAAAGACTACTATATTAAGAGACTAGTAGGTGAGTTTGTCCCACAGACACCTTAGTCAATAATCTCATCCATGCCAGAAGGGCCACACCGATTGAAGACTTCATTATGCAACACTGCTAGTACGTCTTGTCTTTCATGCCAAGGTCTTTGTAGGCCTTTTCCACTTCTGATTTGTGTGCAAAATGATCTAAATAAAAGGATTCATCTCTGTCTGGTCGCATGACTGTTTTTGCAGAGGGTTGCATCAGCTCCTGTCTACTACACAGCTTCCCTCTCATGTGATCTCCTAATCAGATTCTCCTCCACGGTATACTCAAGTTTAGTCTACCCACCTAAGATCCTCTCCACATCAGATTATGTCATATAATTCTTCCTCCATGCATTTTGCTTCTTTTATGTCTCTTTTGATATGGATTCTTTCCAGAGATTTGTTTTTGAAGATATTTCAGAGGAGTATGAGTTAATTATGGGTGGTCGTGCTCGTGTTGGTATCTTATGTGTTATTTTCCCATTAGGAGTTGAGGCTGTTGGCACATGCCAGAGATGTTTAGCTTGTTGCCCATGACAGCTGCCCATTAGCTCGTCTCTTTCATTTGTTTCGCAAGCTAAAATAAATCCCTCTGCACTCTCCCAACTGTGCCCTCCCTCACACTGACTTCACTTAGGGCGTGCACTTTCATACACACAATCACGTAGGTATCACTCCCTCATGCAAATGCGCTTTCAATGAAACACCTGTACTCTTGTACACAGACATACACACAGCTCAGGCTAAATTAACCTCTGCTAACCTTGTGCTAAAGAAGTTCCAGAATAACTTTAAGCCACCAAAAAAAGCCTGTTTGCGTGATTATCTTCATTTAAGATTTACATATGGATTTTTAAATGCCATGTGGCTGTGAGGTAGTGCCGTCATCCTTCAATCGGAAGGTTGGGGGTTTGATCCCAGCCCCTGCAGTCAACATGTCGATGTTTCCTCGGGCAAGATATTTAACCCCTAGTTTCTTCCAATGTCGTGGCCAACCGTGTGTGAATGGCACATTGCTCTGTATGAATCCGGTGTGAATGATGATTTCTAAATATAAAGCACCTTGAGGTGTCGTAAAGACTGGATAAAGGGCTGTATAAAATACAGTCCATTTAACATTACCCTTGTGTATGTTCATTTAGGAACCATGTAGAGAAGTCTCTCATTGTACTGTGTATTTGTGGTGTTCGTTCAAAATATCTGTCGATGGTGGTCGTGAACTGCATGTAAATGGACCAAAAATTGGCTACTGAAGTTAAAATGCAAAAAACAATGATCTATACCAGCGGTTTTCAAAGTGTGAGGCGCGCCTCCCTGGGGGGGCGCCAGAGAGCTTCAGGGGGGGCGCAGCGTGAGAAAAAAATAAAGACTATTAAAGTGTCACTTGCACACCTTTGGCTGTCCGTGGAGACCGAGTTCCCCCACCTCGCCAAAAAGGCTGTAAAAGTGCTCATTCTCTTCACCTCCACCCAGGGGCGGGCTGGCCATCTGTAGGAATGGGTACCGAGCCCCGGTATTAAACGGGCCCCAGGGCTGAATTATTAAAGACCGTGGTACCGTTAAGCTCCGACGTTAACGGTCTTTTTATCGGTACTGGAGACATGTAAAAAATATATGTATATGTATTATTGCTACACAAACATTATATTGCAGTTTTAGTGTTGCCAACTCCGTTTCTAATATGCAAAAAGCGTGCAAAATGCGTCTTTCTAGTATTTTCGATCTTTCAAATCCAGGCGAGAGATCTCTCTCCCCCGCCTGCTTGCGAGGGGGCGGGGCAGTTTACACACACACAGCTGCTACATGCAGCAACACATACACGGAGGAGATGGCGGAGAGAACGCACTCCGAGGTGTGGTTAAACTTTACCCATCTCGATATGGACAATCCTCGTTACCAAAAGTCCAATAAGAGTTTAGCATGTAAGGGCGGTAACACGAGCAATTTGTCTAAACATTTAGCAAAAGTGCACCACATCCAGACGGAGAAATGCACCGGATCGACTGTCTTTCTAGTAGCTCTGTAGCCCCATCCACGAGTAACGTTTCCACGTCAGGTATGTTATGTATGCTAGCAGCAACACACGGAGTTAACTCAATTATACAAACATGGGTTAATGATTAGAGGTAACAGAGTTATTTATTATGTTAAAGTTTCTGCTATTCTGTTTACAGTTCTGTCATCAGATTATTTAACACGATTTGTTAAAACATTGTTGTTTCTTCTGATATAAATAGAAAGCAATGTTAGTTTTGTTCACAATTTGTTTAGTAAGTTTACCTTCTTTTTTTCTCCAAAAGAACCGATAAGAGTACCGTTAAAAGACCGGACCGATAAGTGGTATCGATAAAAGTAGTAGTACCGTTAAAACCTTAACGATACCCATCCCTAGCCATCTGTGTGTTCTGGAGAATCACAGAACGGCCGGTCGTCAGCGGGTCGTTTTAAACTGCATCATTTAAGTTGCGCTGACAGGCGACAGAGGTTCGTTCAGCGGGCCGTTTCCACGCAGCGAGGCTCCCACCCCGTTGACAGTTCACTAGCATGCTCTACCAATTTGTGTGGGCTGGGCTGGGTGAGATTCCAGGGCAGATTTGTTGTCCGATTCCACCCCTGCCTCCACCTACCTGTGTGAGTGCGGGTTTTCCGCATTGACTTTGATCTACAGTAAAGCAAGTACCGGTCAAGGCTGCAGCCATTACATTGCATTTAGCTGACGCTTTTATCCAAAGCGACTTACAATAAGTGCGTTCGACCAACAAAATACAAACTTGAAGAAAACAGAATCATATAAGTACATCAGGTTTCATAGAGCCAAAACATTTCAAGTGCTACTCAACTGGCTTTAGATAAGCAAGTCCTTTATTAGTATATAAGTGCTTTATTAGTAATTCTATCGCTCGAAGTGGAGTCGAAAGAGATGATGCCAGAGGATGATCTGCGTTTATTCCTGTCTACATTGCATCCCCGCATCATCCGCCTGTGCGCATCAAAGACGCAGACTCATTGTTCCCACTAATGTAGGAGTGAGTGTAATAAGGAGGCAAAGTTGACGTTCAGTGTGTTGCCGGGAGAATATAAGGATTTATCCACGATGTTGAAAATGTAAAAAAAAAAAATTCTTTTTTTTTAAAACATAAAGATAAAAAGGTTTTAAAAAAGTTATTGTTTTAAGGAGGTGACACTAATCAGCCAATCAAAACGGTGCAGTCAGCGAGCACGATAGATTCGAACACAGACACGAGACAAGAGGAGAGAAACAGCAGTGAGTAATTTCAAATGGCGTGCTCAAAAAAGAGAAAGGTAGACAGCGAAAACAGAGCATTTAATGACATTTTCTCTTACTGGACCTCTTAGAAATGCAATTGAATACCCCTGCATTATAGCAACAACAACAATAATAATAATAATAATAATAATAGCAATACTAATTGGGAGGGGGGGGGGGCGCGGCTGTTCTTATGTTCTCTGAGGGGAGGCTCACCTTCCCACACTTTGAAAACCCCTGATCTATACTATATGATCTTTGAAAAAAATAGAGCAAATCAATATTAATAGGCATGCAGTCTCCTTTGACTTCACAGTGAATTTCAATGCGTTCTTTTTTTGTCTACTCTTGTGGTCTGCTGGCTCGCGCTGGTGATCGGTTCGTTTCACTCCTTTGGTCTCCATACAGTAGATGTCATTAAACTTCATTAAACTGGGAGTTTGTGCTGCTTATCTAACAAGCGCGCATAAACACACTCCCACACACTAACACACACACAGGCAATCAGAAGTATTTCAAATATAACGCACACATACATCCATTTAGACAAATAATCTTCCACGCAAATACAAAGAGTTAGTGAGTTAGTGCAGCATTTATAAATGACCTTAAAAATCTCACACACACACAGACACATCAATGTGGACTGACACTAACCGTCTTCTCCTTTCTATTTCACAGAACTTTTACAAGGACATCAATCGTGAAGGGATGTATATCAGGTATTTATGTGCTGAATTTGACATGAAATACATTTAAGTGGTGTGTTTCCACATTGTCGATGCTTGCATGTGTGTGTCTGAGTGGCCTAGCATTACTATACTTGTGGGGACCTAAATCTGTTTACACAGTCACGTGTGGGGACTCGCCTCCCTTATGGGGACACATTGGAGGTCCCCATGAGGAGAATCATTAATTTTAGGGTGAAGACTTGGTTAGGTTTAGGGTTAGGGTAAGGTTAAGGGTTAGGGTAAGGGTTAGGCATGTGTTGGTTATGGTTATGGTTAAGATAAGTCTCCAGGAAATGCATGTAAGTCAATGTAATGTCCCCTGAAGTGATGTATACATGGTGTGTGTGTGTGTGTGTGTGTGTGTGTGTGTGTGTGTGTGTGTGTGTGTGTGTGTGTGTGTGTGTGTGTGTGTGTGTGTGTGTGTGTGTGTGTGTGTGTGTGTGTGTGTGTGTGTGTGTGTGTGTGTGTGTGTGTGTGTGTGTGTGTGTGTGTGTGTGTGTGTGTGTGTATCCATAATCTGACAAGGGATTATATGAGTCCCACTGAATTAATGTCAGAATCCACAAGATCAGCTCTTGGTCTGACTGGAGGGCGAGGAGATAAAAAAAGAGAGACATGATTGGCAGGGAGGGAGAGAGAGGGGAAAATCCAGATCCCGTCAGGTCCCACGTGCATTTCTGGCGGTGGCTTATGGACCTAATTAGTTATCTGTGTGTTCAGATGTGAGCTCAGCTCTGTGGTTGGTCAGAAGCCTTCGTCTCTCATGTGGAGAATATGGTTAACATTTGGCCGGCTCCCTAGTTTATCTTAGCATATACACACAGTTTAATGGAATCAATACATTAGTCAATCTAAGTTTATTTATATTGAATAAAATCACAAATTTGTCTCAAGAGGCTTTACAGTGCAATGTGAGCATGCAACATAAAATGAACATTAGATAACTACATATAGCATGTGTTATGTTATTAAGCATAATGTTATCTTACACAGTAGCTATATTACTCAAGGCCATGCGTGGATAATAACAACCCCAAACTAATTAGGTTGTGGCTCAGGGTGTGAATTATGGACCATAACATTAGCATCTTAATTGCTTACATTTATATTTTAAATGATACAACAGTTGACTACTGAATATTTCCTTTAATTAACTGTATTATTTATCTATCTCTAGTGTTCATACTAAACTATTTATTTGCAGCAAGCAGAAGTAATGTACCTTTCTTTACTGATAAGTCAGGTAACAACTTTTTTAGAGGTAATTTCAACTATGAATTTAGAAAATGTTTTTCCAAACTTTTAATTATTATTATTTAGTTTTATTATCTTTGTTGGGCTGTCTCACTAAAATAGACAAATTATTAAAAAATGCAACTCACCTTCAGTAATTCATAATATTGTTGCACACAAAAGTAATAATCGATTAATAGAGTGTATACTGACTTTTTAATGTACTACATTTGTCACTTCTTTTATGCAAACCCACCAAATGCTGCACTGAAAACCTCTCATTTGTATAGAGTGTGGAAATGCCTGTTTAAGTCACACTTCAAAGAGAGACGTCTGTAGTTTTCTGCATTAAGGCACTAACCAGCAATGTTTCTGGTGAACAATTCAACCATAGCTTTCTGTGTTTCGATTGTGTGATTGATTCATATCACTTCATGTTAATTAGAGGGCAACATTAGATTGATCTGAAATGAAATACGTTTTACAAACCTAATGTTCCTGTAATAGGTTTCCTAACACCCAGATATGGACTAATTAAAAGCTGACTCCTGCCAATGCAATTTGAAAACCACCTGTGATTAACAGACCCAGGGAGATAGAGGACGAGAGGGAGGGGAATAGTCAGGGAGGGAGAGAGAGAACAGGAAGCATAAATAGAAGAGAGACCAAGAGACAAACAGTGAAGGGTGAGTCCAAGCTTCTCAGAAAACAACAACACTCAAACGTTAACTGGGTCTACCATAGCTTGTTCCTGCGTGCTTCTACACAATGTAACTATTATAGTTATAAAGCCAATCACCAGCATCTTTGTACAAGCATGCAACATCATTGGCTCACAAACGATGATATTTACTCCTTATTGTGGTATTGGAATAAATAAATAATAAATAACAAGGATTATTTCTATACTCGATAGTTTTGAAGTAATTTGTTCGGTGACTAAATTGATCAAAGTTTAGTACCTGGCCCAATTCTTTTAGAGAATAAGAGGAAATGGAAGGAAGAAGATGACATGAGGTTCAAAAAAGAAAGCGAGACCCTTCAATATGTAGCCATACACATTAACCCTAAGGGGGCATCCATACTGCACAAGCGTATACAGAAGATTTCTCATTTGAAAGCATCTACTGTAGAAGCCACTGCTTACTTGCTTCGTCATCAATGCCTTAGCAAGAAAGTGTAGCCTCTGGCGATCTGGCAGAATGTTTTTTTCCCGACAAGAAACAAAAATCCATCAAACCTGAAGCTGTAAAATAGTAAATGGGTTCACTAGCAGCCCAATGCTCCCATTTTCCTCCTGTCGGGCTCATAAAACATACTGTGGCTACAAAACATCTGACTTTTTACAAGACATACTTTGAATTGCCCTTCTGTTTGTTTGCATGAGTATGCCCTGCATGACCTTTCTATGTTGTGTACATATTCCAGGGTAGCTATATGGTGTGTGTGAGCATTAGACACATTGAGTGAGAAAGTGACACACTCTTGATTAATGCTGCCCAACAGTGTCATCTAGTGGATTGATGCAGAAGCTGCATATTACATTTACTTGACCTCTGTGAGTGTGTTTGTACACGTGTGTTCTCAGGTACCTTTACAAGTTGAGGGACCTTCATCTGGAGGGTGAAAACTACACGGAGGCAGCATACACACTGCTGCTCCACTCCCGCCTGCTCAAGGTAGGACACACACACACACACACACACACACACACACACACACACACACACACACACACACACACACACACATAAAGAGGGATATGTTGTCATTTTAATGCTGGAGCTAGTGTCTTGCTCTGTCTAATCACTTGTCTCTGAGCCACGAATGAGACTGTTTTTTATATGCTGATAAATGGGTCCTGGCCTCCGAATGATTAAGCTCTGCCGCTAGTTTATGGTATTGCATCGGCCACTGGTGCTGCATCACTATGGTGATTGATTTTTGGAGTCTGTATGTGTGCAGCGTTTTTGTGTGAGTGTCGGCGCGCACGTGTCCGTGTGTATTTGACCTCTTTTATAGCATACTTAGATTTCACAGAGAGGGACAGAGGAATAGGGGCATTGTTCCCTCTCTCTCTCTCTCTCTCTCTCTCGCTCTAGGAGAGCGTGTGAGCTATAGATCGATCCGCTATAGCTCTCTCGGTCTTCTCTCCTCGCTCTCTCTCTCTCATCTCTCATCTCTCTAGCTCTCTTCTCTCTCTCTCGCTCTCTCTCTCTCTTCTCTCTCTCTCTCTCTCTCTCTCTCTCTCTCTCTCTCTCTCTCTGCTCCTCTCTGTCTAGTAAGCAGTTGAACTCTATAACATTTGTTATGAACTTAATTAATCTCTAGTGTCAGTCCTGTCATGTCTGCTTCTTATTAATGGGCAGTAAGGCACAGCATGCTGTCATCCTCTTCTAACAAACTTCACTGAGCACAGTTCAAACAAGTCTGTCTTGCTCATTTTGCTCATTGTGCACTTTTACGTTTGGTTCCTAAATGAATTTCTGTGCAACTTATGTAATGGAAGATACATTATTGTCTTGTTTATATGATAAATGAGCATTGTGCGGTTTGCTTTGGTGCACACTCTGCTTATGGCTAACATTGATTCATTACAACAAACAAATTAGCCTCAAGTTATCTTCCTCTTTTGTCTTAACGTCATTATTAATGGGAAAGTAAAAGACTTGTTTGGTCTGGCCACTCTTTTTAATTCACGTTGACATACTGCATCTCACATCTCTGTCCTCTCATCTTTATGTATATCTTCCATCCTGTCTGTATTTCAGTGGTTGGATGAGATGTGCAGCCCCCAGTTTGAGTTCCACGGCTCCCAAACGCAGCGGCAGCTCAAAGAAACGCTCTACGACACCATCATCGACTACTTTGACAAGGGCAAGGTCAGCATGGTTTTACAACACAACCTGCTCCTCCATCTTGACCTCCATTAAGTAGTGTGATGATTTGAAAAATGTTGATAAACACTCCAAAATCAAAACAAAGAAAGTTTTTAGCAGGACAGTTCATTTTTATTTTCGAAGTAGCAAAACGTGTTGAACTTATTTCACAAAACGATAAAGAAAATAGTTTCTAAAGCCTCAGATTCAAGATCAGAATTCAAGACATACACTTTTATTTTGGAAAATGTTCGTTCCTTTCCTGTATCAAGTATTAAGTCATAGTCTCGTGTGTTGATGTCAGATTCATTCTGTATTCTCTATGAATGCTTTATGTTCTCTGAAGCATTGAAAGAGACATTTCACTTCACTCTCCAGAGACCTGGAAACAGATTTCACAAGAAAAATTCCCACCACAGCTGCTGCCGATTCAGATGTACAGTATTTGCAGATGGTGTAATGACTTCTTGCTCTCTCTCTCTGGTGTGTGTGTGTGTGTGTGTGTGTGTGTGTGTGTGTGTGTGTGTGTGTGTGTGTGTGTGTGTGTGTGTGTGTGTGTGTGTGTGTGTGTGTGTGTGTGTGTGTGTGTGTGTGTGTGTGTGTGTGTGTTGTGTGTGTGTGTGTGTGTGTTGTGGTGTGTGTGTGTGTGTGTGTGTGTGTATAGATGTGGGAAGAGGCCATCACTCTCTGTAAGGAACTGGCTGAACAGTACGAAAACGAGATCTTTGACTACGAGTTACTCAGCAAGAGACTGGTAATAAATGACTATCTCAAACCTTGATGCTTTATCGTCTGCACAGTTATCATGTTCTCACATTTTCCACTTTCCCCTTAACTTCCCCTTTATAGACGTTATATATATTCTTGGGTGTGAGGGAGTGTTTTGATAGCTGCAGTAACATAGCTCACATCCAGTGCACCTTTTGCGTACCGGATCTTATGTATATTGATCAATGGTCTTTGACCTTTTAACAGTAAAACAGAATCTATTCAAATTGTTTAACTGCCATTCAGTAAGTTGCTTATTGATCAGAAACTATAAATGTAACAGCAACACTTGATAGGTCATCTGCACTTTAAAATTGCATGTTTAAAAATGTGTATCTACTAAAGTATTCAAGTCCCCCTTCAATTCTGGTGTGAAGAACTCTGGTTAGAGGTTTCACAATTACTGTATGACCCCAGAAGAGTGATTCATCACTGCTAATCATATACAACTTCTAACACTTCTTACTGTCAATCAATCTTGTGTTTCTTGCTTCTCTTGCTCTGTCACCACAGCAGTAGATTCCTTCCTTCACAAATCTAACCCCACATTCTCCTCTTTCTCCCCTCCACTGAACTCACCGCCTCCCCTCCCCACATAGAATTACACTTTTACCAACAATTCAAAATCTCTTTCTCTTTTTATATGACTGCAGCAGTGGCTCAGCTAATGCAAATGTATGTAGTTATATCAATGACAGACATTGCCCTTGGTTGCTATGCACTTTATTGTTTCTACATCTATCATCAAAGCTCACAGCATTCTGCTGAGGGTGGCTTTGTCTTTGGCACAAGCTGATAAAACTGCTACGGCTGCACCATCTGAAACTTTCCCCTGAACACATCCTTTGTCTTTCTCTTTGTCCCTCTCTCTCTCTCGCTCTGCAGGAGAAACAAGCCAAGTTCTATGAAAACATCATGAAGATCTTGAGGCCTAAGCCGGACTACTTTGCAGTGGGCTACTACGGACAGGGCTACCCTCCATTCCTCAGGGTTTGTCTTTCTCATGGTTTGCTTTGAATGAATATTATGCATAGCTTTTTCACTTTTCAAACAGTTGGATCACAATGTTTCACGCTGTGTAAGGAATACAAAGGTATTACCGACTACCCTTTCTTGCACAAAGCAGTCGAAGAAAACGCTTATTCTCCATTATCAGCACTGAAGCTTAGCTATTTAAAATAGCAACAGTAAACAACTTTCCAAACACACTAGCAAGATGCTTAACAGAAGGAGGCATATTGTACCTTCAGGGAGCGTTGTTGATCTGTGGATTTCAGCAAGTTGCAGAAATAAATATTCCGCTGTTTGTAGCTCCAATATTCATTAGATGTGTTTATCTGCTTCGGTAAGGAGTCTGATAAAGGCTGCGAGTCAGTTCTTAGTAGCTCAGGGCAGTGATAAGGGAGACCAGGGGGGTATACTACGAAGCAGGATTTTCGCTTAGCCGGCTAAATTCAGGGAAAACTCCGGCATTCCGGTCCTACGAAGCTGGTTCTCTTTTTAGCAGGCTAGATCTCCATGGTAACTTATGCTTAGCGGCTAACCTGGTCGGGACCAGGTTAGGTTGCAGGCTAAGAGCTCAACTCAGTGAAAACACTGCCTGCTGACCAATCAGAGCTCAGTGTGCAGAGTTTAAAGCGATCAAGTCATATTACAGGAGAAAGGAAATACAGAAAAGCTGCCGTCGCAGGAAAGACGGCCGGCAAAAATCACCGACTGTGTGAACGTGAACATTAATAGAATATCACCTCCATCTTCAGAGCAATCTGACTATTATAACATTAGCGTTAAGAAAGCTTACTTAAATATATGCCACAACATAAGTAACTGGATCAGAGTAACATTAAGTAGCCTACAGTCCGCGGCATGTCAGCTGAGCCGTATCTGGCCGTGCAACACTCACAGTGTCACATACTGTATGCAGAAGTATTATTTTAAGCAACACATTAAGTTGACGAAACACTTGAGACAAATGTAATTAAAGTCAGATCGTGTTTTAGACGGGGCAGTGATATCATAAACCTGTTAATGTATGCATTCAAACACTTTTTCTTTTGCCAGCTGTATTCACCTTGCAGGTGCAACTATGTGGCTTTTATCCTGGATAAAGTGTTTAAGACATGGATGTTTAAAGTTTAACTTCTTCATTTTTGACTAGTATTAAAGTTCACTTTTCATTCAGGAAGTATGACGCTGTGCTGTCAGTACGCTTCTCCATGTTTGTGATTGGTCGAATGCTCCAAATACCACCCCTTTCATGTGAACGCGCACCTAACTAGATAGGAAATGGCTGGCTTGAGCGATCCACTTGATAACCAGCGTCGTAGTACAGTTTAGCGAGAGCGCGTATGTTTTGGATTAGGCCAACCGGCTAACTCAAACATATCCAGGTTAGGTTGAACCAGCTTCGTAGTATAGGCCCCAGGCCCACTTTGAGAAATATTTACAACCACTACCAACTCTATGTGTTGATCAGAGGCTACATAAGGGTTTGATTATCATCAGTATACTCTTATATAACATACATATCCTATGCCTGCAGAACAAGGTGTTTATCCACCGTGGAAAGGAGTACGAACGCAGAGAGGACTTCCAGAACCATCTGATGAGCCAGTTCCCCAGCGCTCTGCACCTCAACACCACCACCATGCCAGGAGACGACATCAAGAACTCTCCACTGCAGTGTATCCTCATGGCACACACAGAAATACACTAATGTGTGATCATAGATATACAAAAAAAGATCTACAAGCAATTTTTGGTCTTACAGTCAAGTGTAGTACTGAATATATAAAGTAGACTTTAATATACAGCACATGCTGTACCTTAAGGTTCTGTTAGGGTTGAAGAGGAAGTGTATCTTTCAGTGTTTTCGAAAACAAAATATTGGTGGACACAAAAAAACGAATTTAAGTGTATCAAAACTTATCACAGAGACATTTTTCTTTACATTAGTTGTATCTTTTGACGTAACCCTGCCACTGGATGTCTGAAGTGTTGTCAGTAGTGTAACTATCAGTTTGTAGATTTTGTCACAGCTGTGGATGTACTGTCCTGTCCAAGCTGTATTGATGTTTTCTTCCTGAGCATTATGAACCAGATATCCAGTGTTTCACAGTGCAGCCAGTCCTCGAGATTCCTCCTCGCCTGAAGAACAAACCTGTTCCTGACCAGATCATCAAGTAAGTCAAAGAGCATGTTTAACCGGTCATTTATTTCAAATAAATATGTGTTGGTGTATGAAATGACTTGAAAAATAGTTCTGACAATGTTGCAAATTAGTTTTTTATTTTCCTTGTGTGCCTTTTACCTCTGTCTCCTTCTTATTTTATGTCCAGCTTCTACAAGTCCAACTACGTGCAGCGCTTTCACTATTCCAGACCGGTGAAGAAAGGACCTGTGGACCCAAACAATGAATTTGTTGTGAGTTTTTCCATTTAGTTTTTTGTGATAAGACTTAAGACCACTGGGAAAGTGTTTCAGAAGTTATTGTGTACTTGCATTGTTATTGTCTGAAAAGACAAAAACAATAAGGCTGATAAATCCTCCTCTACATGGACATTTTATATTTATAATGCTCTGCTTTATTCTTGCTAAGGTCACTATATATTTTCTTGTACCTCTAGCATCGACCACAACTATTCCCTCTCTATCTCTCTGCTCTCAACTACCAACAGCCTTAATACAATATATATTATGTTGTATTTAATGCTGTCAAAATTATCGCGCTAACGGCGGTAATTAATTTTTTGAATTAATTGCATTAAAATATTTAACGCATTTAACGCATGTGCAGAATGGCCCGCCCCATACATCCCACCAGTGGCAGCGCCAGGGTATGGCTGGGGTACACCCATACCAAGAAATGGCTTAGCCCCACCATGAAAAATGATGTTAAAGTAAGCAAAATAAAGTCCGCCAACTCGCGCCGAGAATTGCACAGACAGCAGTTAGTAAGATTGATTTCAGTAGCCTCTTGTCTGGAAATACCGAAGACCAGAAACGGTTTTGAAAACTTTTGTCACGTAGTGATCGTCTTCTCAATAGAACATCTTTGATAATGTCTTCTGGCCAATCAGAATCAAGATAACGGCGTGGTGTTGTTGCAGGAAGTCTCGACGGAGAATACTTTTGCTGTAGTACAGGGGTGCACATAACTGGTACGCAGGTTATGTGCGTAATCTGAAATGCGTACCAGCACTTGTGTCACAAAGCGCATTTGCGTACCGATGTACTCGTGAAGCTTTTCCAGAAAAGCGGTTAGATCACCGGACGACAGAGTCGGTCTCCGTGTGCACAGACAGGGCTGCTGTTAACGTCGGTCTGTACAACGGAATTGTGCCAAAACTACGCCAACCGGCTGCGGAGGGAGACTCCCCCCCTTCACTGGAGAACTGCGCTAAAACAGCTGATCACAACGTTCACACTCTGTGGTCACGAAGTACTCCACTAGCGTCTTAATGAATTAAGACCCCACGGTTTGATGATTGATAGGTGCTCTCTTTCATTTTGACACACAGAAAAATGTTACTATAAACATGTTAAATGGATATATCCGCCTTCTTTCATTTATCTTTCCATTCCCACAACAATATACCAAAATAAATGGCATATTTTGGACATAGTTCGAATGGTGATTAATCATGATTAATTAATTTTTAAGCTGTGATTAATATGATTAAAATGTTTAATCGTTTGACAGCCCTAGTTGTATTATATTACTTTTGTATTATACTTATGTTATATACAATGTCATCTAATCGCTTTTTTCTTTATTATTCCCTTTTCAAATCTGTTTTCAGTCAATGTGGATTGAACGCACGACCTTCACCACTGTGTACAAGCTGCCAGGGATCCTGCGCTGGTTTGAGGCTACGGACATGAAACATGTGAGTCTGTGGTTGGGTGGGGGGGTTACTCCGTTTGTGTTCTGAGCTAATGCCTCCTCTTTCAGGTCTCTGTCTCACCTCCACCAATACATTTATTTTTCATTTGTTTTTTAACTGAATGTTTTTCCTTCATCCCAAACCCCCCCCCCCCCCCCCCCTCTTACTTAATTGGTCTCGTCTTCTTCCATATTAATAACAGTTCTCTCTACTTAAACCCCTTTGCTCTTTTCATCACTTGGTTTCTCCGCTCAGACCACCTTGTCTCCATTGGAGAACGCCATAGAGACCATGGAGTCCACCAACGAGAAGATTCTCACCATGATCAACCAGTATCAGGCTGACTGGACCCTTCCCATCAACCCCCTCTCCATGCTGCTCAATGGCATTGTGGACCCAGCTGTCATGGGCGGCTTTGCCAAGTATGAAAAGGTAAAGAATCAGCCCTTTCCTCCCCACTTTATAGCAGATAATGGCCATTATCATATAGATTTCTTCAAACTAATATAGGAACAGTCGAGTTCAGTTTATTATACCTATCACATAATCATGTATTAAGGACTATCTGAGCTGTAATGATGAAAATCATTATCATCTCCTGAGGCTTAATTACAATAAATTTGCATATTTCATTAAATGCAAAGATCGCTTTATCCATAACCAGAAACATTGTTAGTATTCATTCTCCAACACCATTCCGTGATTTAATTTCCCACACAGGATAAGATCAGTGAGCTTGAATGTGCACATGTGGATGGAAAAGTCAGTCATTCATTAACAAACTGCCTGGGTAGGTGAAACCAAACGCCAGGATTCTTTAAATTAGTTTAAAAATGTTTCTTTGTATCAGGCGTTCTTTACCGAAGACTTCACTCAGCAGCACCCGGAGGACAGAGACAAACTGCTGCGGCTTAAGGACCTCATCGCATGGCAGGTACTGAACACGCTAACACACACTTCACATACACACCACATACTGTAGATGATTTTATGTGAACGTTCTATTGACACCATAATATTTGTATCTATAGATCCCTTTACTGGGTGGTGGGATCGCTCTCCATGGCAAGAGAGTGATGGAGGCCCTTCGTCCTTTCCACGAGCGCATGGAGGAGTGTTTCAAACAGCTGAAGAAGAAAGTGCAGAAGGAGTACGGAGTGAGAGAGCTGGTAAGAACAGGGGAGAAGGAGAGCTGACAAAAAGTATGGAGAGATTATTTACTGTACTCTGTAATCCACAATATATTTTCTTCTGAGAGGCTGGACACAGATCTACTCTGGTAGCACTGCGCTAATTAAGCTGACCGAGACAAATTTGAAATATCAAAGTACTCACAAAAGCCTTCAAGTGTAGTGTTGATATGGGATTTGTACCTTTTAAAATGTCTCTACAACTAGGGCATGGCTCAGATGATCTGACTGGGGCTAAATGTGGTCGTTAACTGGTGTAAATAGACTGGGCCCTTCAGGAGAGATTAAGCTAATGATGGGTATGGGGGTGCTGGGCTAAGAGTACCTTGCTTGTGCTTTCCCAGCATGTTCTAATGATGTACGTCTGCTTTGTTTCACTGTCTATGAACCATGCAAACAGTGAAACAAAGCAGAAGTACAGGACTACTAGTACTTTTCATATAAAATAATATTATTTTCCAGCCGGATTTGGATGAGAGGAAGTCTACTCGTCCTCGCTCCATGCTGCGCTCCCTTCGTCAGTCCATCATCTCCATCTCCTCACTGCAGGGATCTGAATGTGGGACTCCAACCAAGCTCCATGCAGACAGGTAGCATACACATCCAACCCAAACACTGACATTGATAAACTCACAGTTGATGGCGTTACAAAACACGTTTGTTTCACTTACAATAAATATGAAATCCACAGTTTTCACATGAGCCTATGTCTCCCATTTATGTAGGGACCAGCTGTGTTTGATTTATTTTACACTACTTAAATCAGCTTTTTCTCAGTGTTAAATGAAATGTTCATTGAAAAATGGCTTTCAATCTGTTCTTTCTATATACCTTTAAGCTTCTGTAGTTGCAGAAGCTGATTCTTTACACTAGTTTTCTGTTTTGAACATTGGTATTCAATTGTGGAATGCTGTGAGCACGCGTTGTGGAGGGTATTCATTATGTAATTATGTTATTTAATTATGTTTGCGATCAATTATGTAAAGAAAATGTAAATACGAATCATTTCTGTTAAAGCAATGTGCAGTCAGTGTTACATTTTTCTTTGTTTAGTTTAGTTTCATAGGCAAAAGGCCAGGTGTATTTCTCATCACACATTAGGGCTGCTCGATTATGGCAAAAATCATAATCTCGATTATTTGGGTGAATAATTGATATCACGATTATTAAAAATGATGATCCATTTACTTTGAAAACATCCATTTATTGAAAAAAAATAATGTGAACAGTATGTTTTTAACAGTTGATTACCTTGAACTTTAAGTATAATTCTACGGAGTCCCCCTGGTGACATTGGTGAGAAAAATATTAATACGTGGCCACGTATTAATAATGCGTGGCCACGAGTTAATAATGCGTGGCCACGAATTAATAATGCGTGGCCACGAATTAATAATGCGTGGCCACGAATTAGTTATTATGTTCCCACGCATTAGTAATTCGTGGGAACACAATAACTATTACGCAATAACTAAATCCAGATAGTCTATAGAAACGGATGACTGAGTGACAACAAGTCGAGTAAAGTTGGAACGATATTGGCAGATTCACATTTCACGGATCAATAACTCATGAACAAAACGTTGTTCGGACACAAATGATGTCTCCTAAGTACCGTGGTAAGGTTGACAACAAACTACAATCACATTTTGATAAAAAAAAAAAGCCAATACGTGCCGTCCTCCAAACCATTATATTGGTCTCTATCTGTAGCCTGAGAATAAATGAGTGCTCAGGGACCGTCTGCAAAGTGCAACTCCGAAGAAAGAGAATACAATAATATTCAATCACTTCACTATTATACAGTATATTTCTACCAAACTCACTACACACATCAATAGTCTCATGTTGCTCATACTACAGCAGAGAGTTTGGAAGAATGTGCTTTTGAATAATTTTGGTGAATATTTATAGTGTAAAATCTTCAATAAATATGGCATCATCTTCAATAACGTTACTATTATACAGTATAAATATTCACCAAAATTATTCCAAACCATATTCTTCCAAACTCTCTGTAGTATGAGCAACAGAAGACTATTGATGTGTGTAATGAGTTTGGTAGTAATATACTGTAGAATAGTGAAGTGATTGAATATTATTATATTCTCTTTTTTCGGAGTTGCACTTCGCAGACGGTCCCTGAGCACTCGTTTCTTCTCCGGCTGCAGATAGAGACCAATGTAATGTGTCCAGCTCGGAGAGAGGACGGCGCATATTGTCTTTTTTTGATCAACATGTGATTGTAGTTCGTTGTCAACCTTACCACGGTACCTAGGAGACGTAATTTGTTTCTGAATAACGTTTTGTTCATGAGTTATTGATCCGTGAAATCCGAATCTGCCAATATCGTTCTAACTTTACTCAACTACGTTTCAAACCGTGCATTTTCAGCAGCCGAATCAAGTGCCTTTTGCTAAGGATGACACTGTGCTTAACTGCAAGGGATTGCAGAATATCATTATAATTCATTCCCAAATGAAAATAAAATAAAATCAAATCAAAATGATCCATGCTTCGCGATAATAGCCGTAGCCTATGGTACAGAGTTTAGCTAGTGTTGTCACCTTTATATACAGTCTATATCAGTGGTCACCAACCTTTTCAAGCCCAAGATCACCGACCTCGGCCTAGGAGGTGAAAGGCGAGATCTACCTATTACAGAATTGAGTGAAAAAGACGGCCCAGACAGTGCTTCCAATTTGAGGCCTTTTATATAATTGCATCTGAATTACTGTTACAATGAAGGCTCCATAATCAGCTCACGGCATACAGGCAGGGGTAAAGTGCTATTTTTTATGAGTGGGGGGCGGACCTCACCTCCTCTAGGGGGGTCCGGGGGGATGCTCCCCCGGGATGATTTGTTTTTAAATACGAAGTTGAAAGCATCAATCTGGTGCACTTTGAGAGCAACATGAGATCTATGGATACCTCTCTCAGCACCCATATGAAACAGAACTGTAAACAGATTTTCTTTTTTTTTAATGGATATTTTACAAATCACTCCCCTTTTAAACTGTATTCTTGTTTTACTGCCATATAGTATGTCATACCTGTTTTTCATGTATTATATTATTGTTTGTATAACTATAATGATCATATGAAGGTGTGCCGCGGAAATAATCTTTTGAATAATTTGTGACAAAACCGTTCTAAACACTCAGTCCTTTAGCTCACCTGAGCCCCTCAGTCTGACAGGAGAGGACCCTCCTCCAGCTTGTTGTGGAAACAGCTCCTTAAGTCCGTTGGTGCAGCTAGCTAACCAGATGCTAACATCACGGTCCCCGCTAGCACCGGTCCCTCTCTCTCCCTCTCTCTCTCTCTATCACGCTAAATGCGCTATTGCCACACACACACAGAGCAGAGCTTGAATGGCACAAGCACACGTGTATTTCCATGCAACTCTCTGATTGGCCTGGTGACTTGCCTCTGTTGCATTCACTGAACACGGGAAATTGCATTCCTGCCGTCCTCTCTTGTGTCATGATGAGGTTCACGTAAAGCACGGTTAATGTATTATATTATTGAGGTGTCTCAAATATACGTCAATCAAGTGGCACCTGCTAACGGGGTGGTGGATGATAGGTTTAAATCTAAAACACGTATTTTTCAAACATTATTATTTTTATTTTATTTTTCTTTCTTTGTTACTTTTTTTTTTAACGGTCCGCGATCTACAGTACCCGCACCACACTCGCGATCGACCGATCGACTGGTTGGCGACCACTGGTCTATAGATGAGAGTAACAAATGCGTCACTTCCGGGCAAAAATAACGTCTCCGCCCACTTTTAGGGGAAAACAACGCTGTCAGTTGAACGGCGGTCAATACAAATTCTGAAGTTTTTGCCAATCCGATCAGAAATTTAAGAAAACCGGAGATTTTTAGATCATCAAAGAGCCCGATTCCAATGGCCAGACAGGCAAACAATTGCATTAAGCCATTAGAAATCGACGATCGGGCTCGATATATGGTTACATATAGCAGTAGGCTATCGATTTTCATAGATGAGAGTAACATCGACGTCACTTTACGGCCCCGCCCACTTTTGGGGGAAACAACGCTGTCATTTGAATGGCGATCGAGCCTGAAGCATGGATGTATAATAGGAACGGCCTGAAGCCACAGAGTTCTTCTTTTACTGTCCTTTCTTCTTAGAGGAAGTACAGAAACACTGAACTCTGGATTATTTGTAATGTTTGATGTGCAATAAACGACACGGCAGCTTTTTGGCATGATACAACTATTATGTTCCGCCTCGCTCATGAGAGTAACAGCTGGAGAAATTACAGCCTCGCCTACTGATTTTAATTGAACCATATATCAAGACCGATTGTCGATTACCAATGATCAAATGTAATTGTTTGCCTGTCTGGCCATCGTAATCGGGCTCTTTGAAGATCCAAAAATCGACGGTTTTCAAAAAAATTTGATCGGATTGGCAAAAACTTCAGAATTTGTATTGACCGCCATTCAAATGACAGCGTTGTTTTCCCCCAAAAGTGGGCGGGGCCGTAATTTTTGCCCGGAAGTGACGTAGGTGTTACTCTCATCTATATGGTTGTCACTCAGTCATCAGTTTCTATAGACTATCTGGATTTAGTTATTGCGTAATAATTATTGTGTTCCCACGAATTACTAATGCGTGGGAACATAATAACTAATTAGTGGCCACGCATTATTAACTCGTGGCCACGCATTATTAATGTGGCCACATATTAATATTTTTCTCACCAATGTCACCAGGGGCGCTCCGTATAATTCAACTGAAAAACCAATAAAAAAAATATTTAAAAATAATCGTTTTAATTGGATTATGTTGTTTCATAATCATTGCAAGCCAAAATCGTAATTGTGATTAAAATACGATTCATTGAGCAGCCCTATCTCACATTGCATGTTCTTTTAAAAATCACTCCAAAACTACCTGGATATGAAAAACCAAGAGTTAACCTCTGACTTCCTGCTCATCCCCTTCCTGCCTCCTCACAGGGACTTCCCCCCCGATTCCCCCACCTCCGGGAGCTCCACCCTGCCGCGCTCCAGTGGCAGCATGACTGGAAGTTTATCGGAGGGAATGGTGACGGTGGGTGATGCCGAGGTCAAACTGAGGAAGAGTAAGAAGAAGAAGAAGAGGAGCAGCATGATCTTCATCACAGAGGAAAGAGAAAGGATTCATACAATGGATAGCAAACGGGTGAGAGGTTGATCCCGGGAGGAAAGGATGAGAGAGTAAAGGAATGAAAAAGACAGCAAGAGCCGAGTGTGTGAGGCGGTGCTGAGCTTTGTTTGATCTCTGTCTCCCTCTAGCTGTCCAAGAAACAGGAGTTCCGCAGTGACACCAACCTGTGTGAGCCGAATGAAGGAAGTGTGTCGCTCACTAATGCCAACTCCAGATCCCTGCCCGCCATCACAGGTGATCACAATGTCTCATGGTGCTTCATAGTGAACTGTAGTTAAACCAATGAGCCAAGAACCCATAAAGTAAAAATAGAAATGCACGCACTGAGAGGAAGTATTGCTTTTTCCCTGACTGAAGGGAAATCGTGCACAAGGTCATGGCAGGAATACAAACAAATTGGCAAGCTGGGGATTGTTGCAGTAATAGCCTGACCTAACACCAACCCGATGGAAGGTGGCAAATTAGGGAATCAGTCATGTCGGTAGTAATTGTTACAGAACTAGGTGGCAGTGCCATCTAGTTTATATTTCATTGTTTCGGTTACATGACCCTTTTTACAGTGCATCAAACTACAAATCACTGTTTCTCTGGCTTCCTGCCATCTTCGGCCAGGAAAGCTGAGCCAGCATTGACTCTGGTGTTAATACTGTACAACATCTCTGTTTAGCAGCGCTGGCTACAAGCTGTACAGCCTCGGTGAACATGCACACAGTGCCACCGTGTTGCCAGAGAACACAGTTAATCAGTATTACAGCTGCAGGGGCACAATTAGTCACTTTAATCGGCCCTGCTGCAGGAGGAAGCAGAGGATTCTTTGTTAGCTGCTAATCAATGAGACACCGACACTAAATCCTCAGTTGTTGCTCTGTGTAGGTCTGTCCTTGGCGGTGGTGGCTGGAATGGAGGATGTGGACTCTGTCAGAGCAAGGAGGGACAGTAAGAGCATGTCTGTCTGTGGGACCTCTGACAGAACAGCAGACAGGCGCTCAAAGGGCGTCATCAACCTCATCTTCAAGTCCAAGGTGAGTTCAACTGTTTAATTTCTGCTCCACAAAGAAATATCAGGTTAAAATGTATTAACGGGACTATAGCTATACTAGCGATTTAATACTTTTGAGTAAAACACTTATCCACTTTCTTGCCAAGTCTGAAAGGGGAGGGTCTATACCACTCTGATGTGTGTATGTTAAATATATACCTACAGCCAGGGAAAGGTTAGCTTAGCATAAAGGTTGGAAACGGGTGGAAACAGTTAGTCTGGACCTGTACAATAGTGAAAAGAAAAAAAAACTCTACTTTGGTTAAGTATGCTAAAGTAAATTACTGCTGGCCCGCCTCATTAGTATCATACAGACATGTAGAGAGAGAGAGATGTATTAATCATTTCATCTAGCTCTTGGGAAGAAAGTGAGTAATCCTACAAGTTCTTGCTATTTCTTTAGGAAGTAATGCAAATGTTTGTGAATGAACATTAGTCTTATGTTACCAAGACCATTCCAAACTATTTGAACAGGATATGTATTGTTGACATAATCCATTCATTTTTACCCATAACTGGGAGTAACCCTGTATTTACATTATGCATGTTTGTTTGTTTCAACAGAGCTCCAAATCAGAGAAGATGTGAAGCCCGGTGACTCAGCCAGGCAGGGCCAATCATTTATGAAATGCATATTTTTGTATTTTATTTTAACTTTACTTATCTTTACGCTTTTGTTAAAGTAAGTTCACATAAATATGCAAGCAAAACCAAATGATGCTCTCAGTCAGTCAGTCAGTCAGTCTCTCAGTCTCAGTATTGCTGTTGCCTTAATATAATTGATTGTATCTGTCAATAAAGACTATTTTTGTGGTGTGACCTTTCTCCTGGTAATTCAAATGATTTCCAGTGAAGCTAAATACCATCTTGCAGGTTTTCAATCAATTCCGCTTCTTCAAGAACAAGCAGGCACAAACAATCCCGCAGACGTGCTTGATTAAAAAGCTTATTATACGCGTTTCAGCATTGATAGGACTGACTGAAGGTAATGGGAAATAATCATTCGAAGAAGCACAAAGGTTACTGCCAAACAAGACACGCTGCTTAAAAGCTTTAACGCAGAAACTAAAACAACAAAGTCTAATACACTTAAAATTAATGAGGAGCAACAAACCTTGAAGATGGGACAAAACTGTTAGGTACTTTTAATCTAATCTTATTGTTTATTCTGCATTGGTTGGAACAAGCATTCACTTTTATTTTAATGTATAAACATCAATCTTTAAGTAGTAGTTTGAATTGTTTGCTTATGGCCTCTTTGCTCTGATTCAATCAAGTTCTTCATCTCTTTGTTGTAATCACAATTGTCTTTCTTTTTTTACCAAAATGTACTTGAGTAAGAGTTAAAGGCGTGCTGCATTGAAAGTACTCCAGGAGGGACAATTTCCTGAGTAACAATGTAACTGAGTTTCTGCGCTGGATAAGGAGCTTATACACCTGTTTCCTTTAATAACCTATAGTATTGTTTCCCAAGATGCATGAAACTGGGTGATTTATTCTTTTTTGGGGTCACCATAAATTACTTAATTTGTGAGTGAGTGAGATAACAAGCACAGTGTTTGATTTGTAGGAGCCAATTGCTTTCCTAAAGAATGTGATCGCTGAGTGAAACAGGAAGTACAGGTCTGCAGACAGACTCACAGCTTGTTCTGTTCGTCTCCCTGGATCAGAGCAGCTCTTGCTGTCCAGAGGAAAAACAAATTGATGGAGTGGTGAGCTTTCCTCCTCGAGCAGAAACAACAATGTGAGTAAGGCAAGGCAAGTTTATTTATATAGCACTTTTCAACACAAGGCAATTCAAAGTGCTTTACAAAAAATGAAAGACATTAAGAAAATGGCATTTAAAATCAGTCATTAAAAAGAAAAGCTAATAAAATAAACATTAAAAGAAAAAATACATGGATAAAAGTTACAGTGCAGTTTAAGATATGAATAGTTCAATTAAAAGCAGCAACAAAAAGAAAAGTCTTCAGCCTGGATTTAAAAGTAGTAAGAGTTGCAGCGGACCTGCAGGTTTCTGGGAGTTTGTTCCAGATATTTGGAGCATAATAACTGAACGCTGCTTTACCATGTTTAGTTCTGACTCTGGGGACAGAAAGCTGACCAGTCCCTGAAGACCTGAGAGATCTGGATGGTTCATAATTTAGCAGGAGGTCAGTAATGTATTTTGGGCCTAAACCATTCAGTGCTTTATAAACCAGCAGCAGTATTTTTGAAATCTATTCTTTGACACACAGGAAGCCAGTGTAAAGACTTCAGAACAGGAGTGATGTGATCCACTTTCTTAGTGTTAGTGAGGACTCGAGCAGCGGCGTTCTGAATCAGCTGCAGCTTTCTAATAGATTTTTTAGTGAGACCTGTGAAGACACCATTGCAGTAGTCGAGTCTACTGAAGATAAAAGCATGGACAAGTTTTTCCAAATCCTGCTGTGACATTAGTCTTTTAATCCTAGATATATTCTTTAGGTGATAGTTGGCTGATTTAGTAACAGTTTTAATGTGACTGTTGAAACTCAGGTCAGAGTCCATTACTACACCTAGATTTCTGGCTTTATCTGTTGTTTTGAACATTGCACACTGAAGCTCAGCGCTAACTTTTATACGTTCTGACTTGGCTCCAAAAACCATTACCTCAGTTTTATCTTTATTTAATTGGAGAAAGTTCTGACACATCCAGTCATTGATTTGTTCAATGCACTTACTCAGTGTTTGAATTGGAGCATAGTCTCCTGGTGAAATTGTTACGTAAATGTGTGTGTCATCTGCATAGCTATGGTAACTTATTTTGTTGTTTTTCATTATCTGAGCCAGTGGTAGCATGTAGATGTTAAAGAGAAGAGGCCCCAAGATGGAGCCTTGAGGAACCCCACATGTCATATTTGTCAACTCAGATGTGTATTTACCTATAGAAACAAAGTTGTTTCTGTCCTTTAAGTAGGATTCAAACCAATTTAGAACTGTTTCCGAAAGTCCCACCCAGTTTTCCAGTCGGTCTAGTAATATGCTGTGGTCAACAGTGTCAAACGCAGCACTGAGATCTAATAATACTAACACTGAAGTTTTGCCACTGTCTGTGTTTAAGTGGATGTCATTAAAGACCTTTACAAGAGCAGTCTCAGTGCTGTGGTTTGGACGAGAGTAGGAGAAACATTACAGCCTAAAGGTACAAAGTGGAACATACAGTGGGGCAAAAAAGTATTTAGTCAGCCACCAATTGTGCAAGTTCTCCCACTTAAAAAGATGAGAGGCCTGTAATTTTCATCCTAGGTATATGAGAGACAAAATGAGAAGAAAAAAAATCCAGAAAATCACATTGTCTGATTTTTAAAGAATTGATTTGCAAATTATGGTGGAAAATAAGTATTTGGACTATATTTCATGGCTTGTGCTTTCTCACCCTCACTCAGGTTGTTGGTGCTGATCATGTGAACAGTCATCCTGCAGGTACATCCATGCTGATTCTGAATGTATGCAACTAAACCCTTCGCAGTCCTGACTGAATATGATGAATATGAATTAGTAGCCTGTGAAGCCAATGAGGGTGATCATGTATAACCTACATTGGTAAAAGGTCATTATGTCAGAAAATATAATTTTAATTAAGCTGTGTAAATGATTCATGGATGTGGAGGAATAACTCACATTTTCCCAGTGGTGTTTTTTTTTTTTTCCTCACGGTCTCTCTGTGTCCTGTGAGAGACCAGATAGTCAGAGGGTGATTAAGAACAATGGAGACATTTTTCCTTTCCCTTATTAATACCGCCATTATCTGGTGCCACACTGACCACCAGGTCTCTGCACAGCCAATTTAAAGTTACAGAATAGCCTTTTAAAACTAGTCTAATGTCCTGTACAGTAATACTTCAGTCTGAAGTGTGGCCCGTCTGATTAAAGCATTGCTGCGTGACCACAGAGTGATTTTAGTCCAAAGATTCATCTCACTTCAACAAAAAAAGGATGGATTGGGTTGGTGGCCAAGTTAAATGATATGCTGTATATTCTCAAAGCGAATGAAGGTGCTGCATCGCTGGCCAACAGATAAATTCCCATCTAAAATAGTAAGACTGTCCTGGAAAGTGTGTAAATTCAACAAAACACTGATCGATAAAATCTCTGATGCAGAAAAGGAGACATTTATAAAACATTGAATTTTGAAATATAGAAGTACAAGAAGCTCACAAAGCCATCAGATTTATTTGAAAACTTCTTAAAACTGTGACTCATTGTTAAGGGCTTGTGGCTATTTTCATCATATCAAAGTTAATGATCCTTTCAGCTCTGTGGCTTCTTTGGTTTCCAGATGGAAAACCCTTCAAAAGCTCAACACACAACTCCTGCAATTATTATCAAGTGTTAGTTTTCGCCTCTGAAGGCATGTCAGATTCTTGTGATTTAGTTTGAAGCTTTTATTGGAGCTGTCATTTTGTTTGGTGCTATTACTTACATGTCATATTCATTGGAATAACTCATGTGCTCAGATATCATATTGCCTGCTGCATTTTCAAAACTACGGCAACAGACATGGTTGTATCTGTTAAAAGCACATAATGTATCCTTGCTCAACCTGTGCCTGTTCAATTACTGTTAACCAATATATCAGTTTAATGACCGTAGTAAAAAAGCATATTTAAATCCTAAATCCTCGGGGCTTCATTTGGACTTTCTTATGAGGAATATATCAGCAAGCACTGCTGAGTTTTCACTCGAATAGCATATTTCGTTTTTGTGTGATACATTTTGGAAAATGTAAAACAATTATGAATTTTACACCTGTTAAGCAAGCACAGGATACTGTGTTCCAAAGTTTAATAAGAAGATGTGAGTTTTTATGTCGGCAGTGTTTTACAAACAGAATTCTATCTTGCTTCTACAAAGCCCATGTGAATAACCCTAACTTATATAAGGAATTTAACCAACAGAAAGCTAAAGGCATTTCGGTTGTTAAAAAGAACCCACAAGTTAAAGTTTTACAGAAGTTCCAGACTTCCTATGACCAATGTTTGTATAATAACTCTATGCAGACTGAAGGTTTGGTGTATATAAAAAACAAACCACAGAAAACCTTTCCATCAATACATAATACTCGCTGTTAGTGTTTCCCCCTGAAAGCTAAAATCCTCAAATACTTTAAAAGCGGGTGCTTTGTTTGAAATTTCACTGTCAGGCAATAGGATTGAAGCGTTCCTGTGGTACATGGAAATGTCTTTAATTTATTTAGGATGTACTCAAATGGTCAGTAAATTGAGTCAATTTGGGTTTTTCAATGTCTATCTAAACTGAGCATTGCTGCACAGAGCCTGCTGGCCCTCAGCTCTGTGTCAGCCTTAACATTAACAAAAACAAATTAACAAGATGCAAAACACTTTTACAAAGCTAGAGACAAATTTACATTTTATAAAACAAAATTACATTAGTGAAACACTTTTACAAGAACTGAGACAAATGTACAAGTCTCGAAACACTAACATTTCCCGAAACAACTTAATATTTCCCGAAACACTTTAACATTTGCCGAAACACTTTAACAAACTAGAGAATCAAACCGGAAAGGGAATGTCCATCATACCAGAAGTGACGTACAAGTGATTGACACAAACTTAAATTTGTTTTGGCGGATACCTATGGATGGTACGAGTGTGTTTATGGTCGTTAAACATGTTTTGTCCGTTCTGTGGAAACCACCTGGGCCAAGTGACACGGTTTTGCTCATCATGATATACGTTCTCGTGCGCACGAGGAAGTTACCGGTTCGCCAAGTAGGAAGCGGAGCTGTGCCTTCGCTGTGTTTACCTTCATTAGAACAGCTAAAGAGAAACTGCA